GACTATCAAATTTTCTAATGATCGTGTCAATAAATGTATTTTGTGGTGCTGATACATGTCCACGTTTCATCGGCATTGTTCGTTCGTTTTTTTTATTATTAACCCCTTTATTTTTTTTTTTTTTAAGTTAATAAAATAGAAGAAAATCGTAAATGTTTTCTTTTCTTGTACGCGTTTTCACAGTAGTATTGTGTGTGAGGATTACTATCTGTGACGACAACGATGTAAACGTTAATAGAAATATAATGAGTCTTTTTTTGTGTTTCTATATTATATTGCTGGTTGTGATGGTAGATGTTCAACAATACTTTTCCATATTGTCCTAATAATGTCAAAATAAAAAAACAAAAATAAATAGCACGAAGAAAAATGTAAAAATAAAAAAAAAAAAAAAAAGAAGTATAATATGAATTACTAAAAATGATGAAAAATGTGTTGAGTGTGTTTTTCTTGTGTTCGTTTTTATTCGAGGGACATATGGATTAGGGAATAGGACGGACAAAACAATAAACATACACAACTGATATTGATAGTACAAATGAAAGAAGAAGAAAAAAAGAAAGAAAGAGATGTCTGTTTTTTCGTTCTTTTTTTTTTCTTCTTGTTGCCAAATATATGCATATTATAGACATAAGATATAATTCTATTCAAACTGGCCATTGTCAAATAGAGAGTGTATGTTTCTCTTCCGCCAGAAAGTCGTAATAATGACGTCAACATATCGAATATGTTAGTATAACGTCATTATTCTCTTTTTGCAAGGTTATTTTAATGTCTTCAAAAAAAAAAAAAAAACCAAAAAAAAACCAAAAAAAGAAAATATACAAAGAGTTATATCAAGGAGTTAGCTTTCTTTTCTCTAAAATTGCTAGAGGCTCAATTTTGTACATACCATTTTAATTAGAAAAAAAAAATGTTTTGTATAAAAATAGAAGATATTCATGTATACTAATACGCTCAAGAATAACTTCTATATTATGGACAAATATAACAAATAATTAGACTACCCTAAAGGTTAGAAATGGAATAATACTACTATAATGAACTCTTTATTCTGTTCATGTAGAACAAACATTTGATAGTCAAACGTAGAATAAACATTACTAATAATAGTATGCTAAAGATATTTGAAAAAAATAAAAATAAAAATAATAAAAAAGATTCTGAGAAAAAAAATTTTTTTTGTCGAAATATTCATGATTTTGATAAGGAAAAATCTAATTTTCTCTGTGTTGTTTTCACAGATGCAGAACATAGGTTAGAAAAAGTGAATCGCACAAGATATAAAACGTTTAATTTTAGAACATAAATTAAAATAAAATACATGTCATTGTTTCATTTATAAATATAAATTTTACCGGAAACATATTCTTTAAATCACGCAAAGTGCCACATCTAGGTTTACAAGGAATGAAAATTAATGCCGGAGATAGAACTCAAATATTATTTGATGTATTTATTCTATATATTCCATTGGGAAAGTAGATGTCTATAAAGATATTGAAACTTCCTAATCAGTACTTCATAATAAAATTTCTTGCGATTCGACTCTCAACTATGACAAAAGATATTTAAAATCTTTGATATTTTGACTTTCTAAAATACTTCTTTGTTATAAGAAGTCTCACTAGGAATGTGTCACCAGAACTAATAGTACTACTCTAGACCTTATGATATCTTCAGACTAGGTATATATAATTTTTATATTTCTTCTTTTTTTTTTTGAATTTCATTTCTCTTTATGTACTACATACTGATGAGCGATTTATTAAATTGAAACTTACCATATTAATGTCATTTTTCTCTTTTTCGTTCATAGACAGCAATTCGTCCTTCGATCATATTTTGCCGAATAATTAATACATACATGTAATATATAATCCAATTTTATCTAAAACAAAAAAATGGAAATAATCTACGTTAATAAAATTACAAAGATTATATTAGATTGATATCCACATTTTCATACAAACGTGAAAGATTTTTTCCGATAGTTTATTCTTACATAAAATTCAGAGTTTGATTTAATGCACTAGGGGAAATTCTTATTTTTCGTAAAGGGATGATTGAAAAGTGAACAGCTAACTACTGAAAACGAGACGTTGGATCATTATTATTTGAAGAAAAAAAAGTGATATTAAACAGAGGGATAGACAGGATTTTTTTTCTTCTATCTATCATATCAAGATCTTCTCTAAAATTATGAGTATTGATTAATTAATGAGAAATAACGGAAATGTCGAGGAAATATTGTAATATTTATATGATTGGAATTAATTTTATGGACAGTTTTAATAAATACTCACAGAAAGTTGATCGGGATTAATGGCTTAATGTTAATGAATTTTCACAAGATTTTGACATCAATTAATGAAGGAATGTCATATTTATCTCCCCGAGCAAGACTAAGTAAACCAGAAGATCTAGCTGCAAAAATAGCTGCAGCTTCCGCTTACAGCTAAAATTAAATAGATTAAAAGTACATTTATCTAGCTGCATGCTGTTTCAAATCGTGTACTAGCTGAAACAGTCGCTGCATTGGCCAATTAATCGATAGCACCTAGTTGTACCTGGCTGACGCTAGATAGAATTTCCATGTATTCCAGGGCAGCTAGTTGAAGCTAGATAAATGTACCTTTTAATCTAGATGCAAGCGTCAGCTTCATAATTATTTTTCGCGCTTGGGGTCTATGGATAAAAGATTGCTTTTTCTCGAATAAATCGTCTTAACTATGTATGGAACACTGAGAAAATTTTAAAAACTATTTGTAATTACCCATGGCACTCTTCAAAAAACTATCTTGTGAAGCTACACGATGATTTCACACATCTATTGAAATGTTATGTGCCTTTTTCTTCTTCTTCTTCTCCTCTTTCTGATTGTCTTTTTTTGAGAAAAGAAAAAAATACCCGTTAGAAATGAAGAACTGAAATCGATGGTTCAACTTTCAATTGATACATCTATCTATAACAACTAACGTATCGCGTGAGTTCTTCTTATAATTCTTGAATTTATCTATCTATTTATCACGGAAGAATTTTGCTCTATTCTTGTGTTTTGTATTGATTTTTCGTATATAAACGAAAAAAAAAGAACGAGAAAGAAAAAATGACGTAAAGGAGATAAATACAAGGTCTCTTATGTAAAGTTTAGATACTAGGCTAAAGATCAATTATGTATAAAGAAGGCAAAACAAAGAGCAAGAGAGGTGAACAATATAGTGTTCTGTTCAAGTACAATACAAGTGAAAATATGTTATAAAAGAGAAAATATTGAAAAAATATTATTCAATTAGTTCTTTCTCAATATCAATCCGTTCGTTCTCAAAGTTTTGTGTCTTACATCTCTATAATCAGTTTTTAATCAAAATTTTTGAGTAATACATGTAAATACTACGTATTTTCTTACCCCTAACTACTTATCGTAGACAAGTATAATAAAATACACGCACTTACACACACACACACACGCACACACATGTGTACGCGTGTAAACACCACAGTGATACACTTTTCTATCTATTGTTAAATGAAACAAAAAAAAAGAAAAAGAAAAAAAAAAGGAAACAATACTACTTAAAAATAAATAGTACAACCATTGTTTTTATATGAAGGTTTTTCTTATTTCTTTCCTTCTCCTCGTTTCTTCTTTCCTTGGCAGTTGTCGATTTTTCTTATCGGAATGGAACGCACACAAAGACTTTTTATAGAATAAAAATATTTCCGATTTTTCTTTTTCTATTCAGTTATGATCAAATAATTATGGGTTTGAAACATATTCTAATATTTTTTTTCTCTACTAAGAAACTAATCGAAGAGATATTTACATGTCAGATTTGATTTGATTTGATTTTTCAGATCGCAACATGTTCACTGATGATGTAATCATAGCGCAGTAGCTAACCAGCAGCGAAGTACATTTATAGAAAAGAGATACAGGGGTTTGTATATGTAATAAACTACTGTTTATTTCTGTACAATGATTCAATGTGTTTAGTCCACTTCCATTTCATATCAATAATTGATCTTTCAAACAGTACACGATATGATTTCAGAATAAATGTATACTGATTGACATCCGTTTTTCTTTTAAAATTCCGTCGAGAATACGAATCTGAAATATTTGATTTATTCACAAATCTATTATGTATAACTAACAGATATTTTTTCCATTGATATGACACTCAAATAACTATCTTGTAATCTGGATGAACTTGAATATTTTGTCATTAATCGTATATATTCTTACATACTGTATGACGTGCATAGTAGAATATCGAATGAAGGCTGCAGCATACAGTAAACTAACATAATGTTCTTTTTTCACTATTGACATTCACATATTACATGCGACAATCTATATGATTAATAAATGCAGCCAACTCTAGGGAATTTATATTCAACATTTTTTAAGCCCTATTAATAAAATGTTAGCAAATATGCGGAAACAATTAGATATTTATTTATGAAAAACCAACTATATAATCATTATAAAGGGTTAGTTGAGCATAGTATTTCAAAATTATCTTTCTCATTATCATTTACTATCAATATAATACCGAATATTTCAAGTTAGTCACATAATTTAGTATATACCGTTGTCATCCAACGGAAAATATTTCTAACCGTACAACATGAAAAAAGACAATAAGAGCAAATATGCTGCTACTATCGAAGAGCAGAAGAAAAAAGGAAAGATAGAGTCGTTGTTTCATTATTCCTGTTAAGAATGGATGAAAGTACCTCAACAAGACAAAGATGTATTTGAGATAATAATACAAAAAACATGGTGTTTTCTCTTATTATCAATGTAATAGTATGTTTTCTTCTTTTATTATTAGTAGCGTTATGTTAGGGAAAAGAGAATAAGTTTTCGACGTTTCTTGAATAGACCGGATCCCATAGAGACAATCATAACGATCAATTGAAACTGATTTTTATTCAAAATTTAACCGCTAAGGAATTAAATTACTCCCAATACACACACAAAAGAGTTTATTTTAGAAAAATGGTATTTGACTTTCATCGCAATTAACATCATTTGCCGGCATACATTTTTGATATTCAATACTGAAACGTTCACCAAATGGTGGTTCTTTTTGTGAACACGATAAAGATTCAGACGAACGTTCTTCGAAACATTTGTAATACATTCGACAATCTCTTAAACGATCAGGATAGAAACCATCGGTTTTATTTCTACAACTTGGTAAATAGGTACATGGATACGAATGAGATCCAGAACGCATTTGATAATCACCTGAAAAGTAAAAAATTTTGAAATTTTGATACAGTCATTGAATGAGAAGTGTCATACTTATATGCATCTTTTGGTTCAAAGCGCTTTTTACATTTGACTTGTTTGTATGGTTTACATTCTAACAAATGTTCATCAAATAATAATGGCATCGGACAACTATTTAGAACTCGGTGGTCACTCGATGGTCTCAGAATGTAATACCAACCACAATTGGATTCATGAGGTTCTAATTCAAGTATTCTCGGAGTTGCTGTCGTTGTTGATGAAGATCGCAGTGCATGAGTTATGATGGATGCTGAAAAGATAAAAGTTAGCGAACTTCAATATCAAGATAAGTGATGTATACCTTCAGTTTGAGAAACAGTTTTCAATTTGATATTGACAACGATCACCATAATAGGTTGATGGACAAAAACATTTAGGATCAGATATATTATGAGTTTCTATCTAAATACCTCGCACAGTGGGCAGTTTTCCATAGAGCAGCCGGACATCTACCCTTGTAGACCCTTGTCCTGAGTTTTTATCAAATAATTTTTTATTCGTAAAACTAATAAATGATACATCACTCGACATAGTTTTAAACTCTGATTCCGAATATTACGTTATTTCTTGAATAAAAATATTTGTTGACTGAGAAAAATGTAAAATACCCGGAAAACAGACGGTTTTGTAGAAAACCTAGATCTCGATCTAGGCTTAAACCAGCATAAAACTGTTATCACCACAGATTCAGGTTATGTCGATGCACATTCTAAAAAGATTTTCAACGAATTTGGAGCTTAGGAAAATTTCGGAAACTCATTACACTAAACATAGCTCTCGGAAAAATCGTTTCGTTTGGGATAAACTACTTTTCAGCACGCTTCTAGCTATCTATTGGTAAAAAAAATTTCGTCTCAGATCAAGTCTTTTAGCGAAAAGTAGTTTTCCCAAACGAGGAGATTTTTTCCGAGCTAATATTCGTTTCAATCATATTGGTGTTAAATATGAAAGAGTAAGCGAAAAAGTGCGATATCTAAGCGAATGTAATATTTTGGAAATTCTACAATGGTCAGCAGATGCTGCAACAGATTCCGAGGCAATTATTAGAAGTGAAAAACTTCCTAATAAACCTGCAAAAAATTTGCAAGATTAAACAACTGAATTTATGAATAGACATTATTTACAGTTATGGCACAATTCTTCAAGTTTGACCAATAAAATAAAATTATAAAAACAGTATACATGTGAATAAATATTAATTATTTGACTTTTATGTACAAGTTATTTATCAAATGATATGTGACAGATGAGTAAAAGCTTTTCTAATATACCCAGTTTTTCAGGACGACTTTTGAGACTGATCATGAGTCTGATATTCGTTTGTCTGGTTCTTGAGTTTCTGAATGGATCTTTCGAAAGATGAAAAACAGATCTATATTTAAGACATGGCATGCTTGGCAATTGTTTTTGTTCACTTGCTGTTTCTTTTCTTGTGTCAGATGTACCTAAGTTAATGGCACACATAGCTTGTCATGCATGCACAGTGTGCATATAATCACTTATCTGTGAGTTATTCGCCTATTTTGCTTTGTGCACATAATCGTTTTGGCCTAAGCCGTACTTCTATTCCCAATCTTTCCATATCAACAGACAACATGTTTATCCCAAAAAACAAATGGACCAGGAAGATATGAGTTGTCTTTGAAATTTAGAAAGTAAAAATGAAAAAAATGCTTTATGAGGTAAGGCTAAGACGTCATAGACGAGAAAGAAAAAGGAAGCATTTTCTCTGATAAAAATTATTTCCGTTTGGTTAAATAAATGGCGTTCTGTACGAAGTGAATACTTCGTACAATAGGAACTCCACGTGGAAATCCAATGAAATTCTTGTTTATGTAGCGGAAACGATCTGAAATTCCGGAATTGTGAGTTCTGTAATAAAATTTAGATTGAACGGATAACCAAACATTTTTCCTTCTGGAATTCCGCTGTAAAAATGAAAATTCCAATTCGAAATTTTGTAAGGAAAAAAGTTTCTGAATAAAAATAATCAGGAAGAAGGTTGTAACGCATACTCGGCGAAGAATTTCCGGTTCTCTACCGGAATCGATCTGTAATTTCATGGATGGTGAATTCCACTTCGTTATAGTTTGTAATACAAGGAGTTTCGAGATCTTTTGAAGGAATTCCGAGACTCGTTCATCTAAGCGGAACTATAATTATTGGAATTCAGCAAGAATCCATTAGAATTGGAAAATGCACCACACCTTCTCTTTCCGGGTCGGTTGGTTAATGATCGGTAGAAGTCCTAAAACTAAAATGAGAATCGACTATGTTTGTTGTGGAACTGTCGAGAGCTGAAGAAGTCCATCCGTATCCAACTAATCTGTGGATTTGTAAATTTCTGAAATTAAAAACTTATGTATTCTTTCACTACCTAAATACTTGAATTCCAAGAATTGCTCAAACCAACTAGATACAGATTCAAAGAATTTTTGACTTTTTCGAATTCAAGAAATTGATAAAAAGTCACATTTTTAATTTTTGTATTCTTTGAATTGAAAAAAATAAAATATGTCTCTCTATTGTTGAATTCAATAGCTTGATGTTTATTTCTGAATTATTTCTGCTAATCTTGAAAATTTTATCAATATAGAGTTCTATAAAATTCCCCTGCTCCTTACTCCGTGTAGTAATCGAAATCAAAATTAACTCACTATTTCAATGACCCTTATTTTAACTTTAGAAAGATTACTAGATTAGTAATTTTGTGGCTACAAGTGAGGAAACCAAAAGACCATACACTAATGTCGGAAGTTATTTATAGAAAATGCTTGGTGATTTCCTAAAAGTCTATATATAAATTTCCTGAGGATTTATATAAATTCAAACTGTTTTTATAGTGAATTTATGAATTATGCTACGATTTTGTTACATCATCTTAATCGAAATGAGATTTTGAGTGTAATGATTTAATTTGATCAAATTGGAGGAAAGTTTCTACATTAAGACAAAAATAAACTTTATACAATTGAGGTAACTGCGACCGAAGCTTTAAACGATCAAAGTTAGATCATAGTTTCCTTCAATTGAATGGTGTGCATCTGCTAGCGATATTTTATACCTTTGCCTGATCGCAAGGTTTATACAGTTTAAATTGACTGTCTGTCTAATTGTTTGCGCAATTTCTTTTGTCCAATTCGTCTACTGTCAGCTTTTTCAGTAGTGTTTTTAGAGTTTCAAGAAATGAAAACACTAGTTCCCTTGTCTGAAAGCAAGGGTTATACGACCATATATGTCTGCTTGTCTGTCCGCAAGACTTTATTACTCGTTGAAGAAAACGCGTGCAGCCACGAGACTTTCACAGCGGAGGTATTGGACTATGGGGAATCAGAAAATCATCATGAGGGACCTCTAGGATTGATTCTATTACTTGAAAATTTTATTACTTTTAATTTTATCTGCTTTTGCACGTTTCCCTAGTCCAGACTCGCAAAAAACTCCCACGGGACTCCTGCCACGGAGTCCTGCCGACAAGGGGGAAACAGCGTACTTTTGTACTTGAAGTTAATTTGGCTACTTTGAGCTACTTTCAACTATTTCTAGCCACTTTGTTACTCTAAGCTGCCTTAGGCTACTTTACGCTACTTCAACCTACTTTAACTACTTTAAGCTACTTTAACTACTTGAGGCTACTTTGAGCTACCTTGTACTACTTCGAGCTACTTTGAAGTGCTTTGTGCTACTTCTACATACTCTGAGCTACTTTTGTACCTTGCACTACTTTGTACTTGAAATTACTTTTGGCTACTTCGAGCTACTCTCAACTACTTCTGTACCTTGAACTACTTTGAACTACTTTTGTACTTTGAACTACTTTTGTATTTTGAGCTACTTTAAACTATTTTCGTACTTCGAGCTACTTTGTGCCACTTTCTGCTACTTCTACATACTTTGAGCTGCTTCATACTTCAAACTACACTTGTACTTTGCCGTACTTTACGCCTTAAAGTACGCTGTTTCCCCTTTGCCTGCCGGTCAGGAGTCAGGTGGAACTTTCAAGGAGCTCCTGAGGGCTCCCGTGGGACTTTGAGGACTTTCGGTGGGCTCTGGTAGGGCTCAGAAGTCCTCAAAGTCCCACAGGAGTCCTAATCGGCAGGATCCTCAATAACACACGTGGCTGTCATATAAATTTTGTAACTTCACTTTATATTCAGATATGTATATCGAGTTTTCAATTTCAAACATTTTGATTTTGTTTTCTCAAAATGATTCGACAGCCAGCTGTGTTATCGAAGATGTTTTGCTGACGATTCCGAATATCGTATTCCTCCAGACTCAAAGCACATTTGAAAATTTCGAAGTCCGGTGATGTGCGTATGGAATAGGCAGTCGACTATCGTCGATCATAGTTTCCTTCATTTGAATGATGTTTAGAGCATCTCAGCCGGCATCCGTTGGCGAAGGCCTCCCTTTGGTCGGCCTTCGTCTTCCTCTCTCGTTGCTAAATTCTTACATAGAGCTTTTGTTCTAACATGAAAATGAGTATAATACAAAGGCATCTTCACATATATTCACAGGTGCAAGCTCTATGTCGACTAGCACCGAAGTGGAGAATCCAAGACAGCATTAGCCTCACTCTCACGGAAAGCCCTCAGAAATGAGCAGGTTAAGAAACATATTCAAACTGAATCATGCTTGAAGTATTTTAGGCGAAAGCGGAAGGGAGGCATGAGCTATGTAATGACCGTCTGATCCACCTAGTCGGAAAAGAGCTCTTCCAGTCAAGGGTCGAGTGAATGGAAGATGAACGTTACTTGTTTTTAAAAAAGCAGTGTTTTTAATTTTGTTTTTCCTAAAAACCAGTTCTAAAAGTATAAACTTGACCTTTTCCTACGCAACTCGATGAAGTCTATCCAACCATAACATAGGAAACAAAAAACAAATTTTGCTTGATTTTCGCATTGGCGACACCTTATATCTGTGGCAAGATTAGATTTAGAGAGTAAACTGCACTAACGTAAATTTATCACATAGAAGATAAAAATTGTAAAATACAGCTAAAGAAGATGTACAGAGTAC